ACAGCCTTCTTTACAACGCCATCAGAAACTTTGCACACCTCTCAACATCGCTGTAGAACGGACTGCCGTCATTGGCTTCCCATCAATCGACTAGATTGCTTAGCCACCGGCTGGCATCGATCTGAAGAAGACGGCATACCAGCCGAGGGGATTCGTCCGCCACGTCTGACAATTGTGTGCCCCAGTGGACGAGCAGCGGAGCATCCTCAAAAGCGTTCGGCACTGGTAAGTGATAACAGCGCCGGGAGATATCATAGACCATAGCGTCGATGAAATGATGCCTTCTTGTTATCGTTGACACCATATTGAATCAGATGGGACCGACTGTCTCAGGCCTCAAACAGGCACATGGCGCCACATGGCGGACGCCGCTGCTCTGACCGCGGGCTACTTACCTACGTTTAGGATGTCATCCGGTAGAACACACGTCCTAGCACGGTCTCGGATCTGTCTCAGGGGCGCCTGCGGAAAGTGCTCCCGTGTGGTTGTGTACACCTCTGTTGCTGATAATTCTATGGCCTAAGGCCTGATGATCTTAGACTGTATTAGGATCTCAACCTGCCATTTCCACGTTTTCTCAACGCGCTTTTTCCGATAGGAGACAGCGGTCGATCAGCCGAATCAGTGTATCTGCGCCAATTAGGCATTGTGCTCCCTGTGACGGTAAGGGATCCTTTCGCATCAGCAACGTGCTCCTGCGTCGATCCTATGTCAGATCCTCGAGCCAGAGGACCCACATCGTCAGGGATGAGACCGGCGCATGATGTATTTCTCTGAGGGCCTCCGGGTCGACCAGGGCATCCTGGTCTCCGTATCACCAGAATAACAGTAGGTAGTTACCCCGTGGCTGGGACGAAAGAGTCCTTCAGCTCCTGACCAGGACAAGTCATCAGTGCGATTTCGAGGTAGATTTTCAGAACAAAACTAGCCATTACAGCACCACGAGCAATCGAAATATGACACCGCGACATAAGTTCGTTGCGCTGTGCATGCTAAAATCACATGAAAAAAACGTAGGCAATTGCTGCGCGAAATACGTACATATTAGATATCACTGTATTATGCATAACATGCATTACAAGATATGTTTTTTTTTGTTGCAAGCTAATGCATGTTAAACTTCAACTATCCTATCGTTCTAATGCAAGACAATTTGGCGTGATGGGGGCACAGCATAGCTTATATCCTTGTTTTCAATATCCAGAGGTCATATTGCTTGTGCATCACTCGTGTTACATTCCTCAATTAGGGTGCAATGCATTTGCGTACCCTTCAAGGCACTCAAAACGTGCAGCACAAAATTTGAACATTTCTCGCTAACGACACAAAACACGCTACTCATATTCCAGGGGGCCTATGTTTTCTTCATATTTTACTTATGTTTTCCTAATGTTTTACTTATGCATTTGCTTATGCTTTTTGTTTTGCTTATGTTTGTATTCCTTACGTCTTACTTCAAGAAAAAACTTCGTGTTAAAAACATGCTAACTTAAGAGTTCCGCCGCTTTTTGCTATCATCACGAACATTCTATGTATTGGCGTCATGTAAGACAATGTATACAAAGTATTGTTTTTGCGTTTAACCAGTCGCAGCGCGGTTTGATTCCCCGGTGTGTTCGCCCTTTCTGCCAGGATGAGAGGCAGGGCGTCACCAAAAGGCCTCAGAAGCATCGTAAAGCCCCAATGATGCACGGACATTCAGTGTAAGGTCAGCGATTTACAAAATGTAACTTTTAACGGGTTTCGCTTCACTTAAGTTATTGGGTGTTGTGTTATGTAGGTGTCTTTCCTTAAGCCGACAGTGAGCCCTACAAAATCTTAAATTATCTTTACTTTCAATGAGCTGACAGGCGATCCGGGTCAGATTCCACATTGTGAATACCGAACAAAATATAGGGGAGCCCAGCCAAATATTGGGAGAGGGGGGCTGCCCAACATTGGGGGTGAGCAAGCCCACGTCGTGGGGAGGGGCACGGTCTCTCCGATGAATACAAAGTTCCAATTCTGTTTGCTATCAATGGACACAAATAAAGGTTTGCAGTGCGAGTTATCTGTCATTCAGAAATATCTTCCATGGACAAGAAACGATTGCATTAACTGAAAAATGAATGAAGTAAGACCTAGCTGTCAGACTGGCTAATATCATTCTAATGCTGTATTGTGGTGGGAATTTACAGCATGTTGTGGCGATCTCTATTAATAAGTTTTATTTAAATGTGTTATTTTGGTCAGTTTGTACACGAATACGCTGCTGAGTGTGCCTTTTAGCTTTGGGTGGAAATATGGGAGGACATAGAGCGACGTCCATGGAGGTTATACGCCCTATGGCTTCCCTGCTATGATATGTCTGTTGTTCTTTTCCATCTGGTTTATAATGACCTGCATTAAGCTAGCCATTGGTTAGATATGAGGTTAGGGGCTTAAAACGTGTCATGTTTGCTAGGAAATCCTGGTCTGGTCAGTTGTGTTATTTGATAGATGCCTCCTTGCTACATCAGTTTAAGTACAACATTCCGGCAGACGCTGGCTCCCAACACGAATTCCATGTAAGCACTACAATCTTTGTTTTCACGCTGTATACTTGACCCTAATTTTTACTTAATCTTTGGCATAATTCCAGGCTGGATCCTGATTACTGGTGAAGCTCTGGCAGTTTCACGGACAAGCAGCGTTCGAAGCGCCCTTTAAGGGAGTAATCCAAACTTGCATCGAAGTTTTGAATTGAAAAAGCCATCTTGAAAATCACTCGGTGCGGTTTACAGCCTTACCCTTTTCAAGACCTTAAATTTTCTTGGTTTTGAATTACACGCCCGCGGAGATGTGCAGACTATTTCTTGCAGACTATTGCAAGGCTACACAGGCATCCATGACGCCATAATAACTTCACTGAAATCCTGCCATTCCACTGGCCATGCGGCGTTCAAGGTCAAGACGAATGTGCTTGCCGAGTCGCTCAAATCTGTCGCTGGTGAGCACGGTTTCCAGACATAGCGGCCGTCAATGGGCTGTTAACCGATGTTGTGCAAGCTATGTAATATTCTAACACGATGATCAGCTTGAATATATGGCTGCCTTTAATTCAATCGAAGCTAGAACAGCCTTGGTCTAAGCCACACAACGATTCTTGTTGACGATCTCAGGATAGAAGAATACGACCCTTTTAACTCCCTCGGCACACGGAGAATAATTTGTCGCTTCTACAGCCGTGCTCTAAACAGTTATTTGTTTTGCATCGATTTTGCATAATCTGTGCGTGTTATGTTTCTCATATGATCAAAAGGAAAATACAGAGATAACCTGGGTGGCACGTCGGTGCAAATTATGACGAGTTTCAGGCGAAAGGGATGCCCATTTCTCTTAAGCTTCACCCAGGCGATGTTAGACTGGAGAGGGTTAAATCACAACTCTTTGCTACAAGCTGATTACCATAAAATTGCGTGTCATGCTCCGCTTTTGCCAGTGCTTTATGTCGGTGCGTGGAGATTACCACTTAAAACAGCGCTTCAGCCGACGAACTTTTGCGTTAATTCCATGCTCGCATGGGAAGCTGCCAGCAACGCAAGCATGCAAATGACATTTGTTCGAGGTGAGAAGAACAAAACTGCCCGATCAAAGGCCTCGACAGAAAGCTGCATTTGCACTAGGCCAAATGGAAATCAATGTGAGGAAAGCTGCAGCAAGTAATGAATTCGACCTTTTCATTGTAGTAGCATGGTCGTACATCCCCGATTTCTGACACCTGACATCAGGTAAATCGGCACTTTAATCATTAAATCTAAAAAAAATGTGTTGAGGGTATACTTAAGGCTGGCCTAGCAAAATAGTGTCAGATATGCATGCTTTTTGTCACGTTCTTACTACTATCTCGACGGTTGTGCTGTGCTCATTTGTTCATTTTCTTCTCATCTTGTTACTGATGATGGTTATAAGATGGATACTATAAAACACATTTTACGTTTTTAGTACTATATTGAAGCTGAGGACAGTAAAAGCGTCTCGGCGGGTTCCAAACCATCAATGACCAAACTAACTTTTTTATTCTTCAAGCTTAACTAAGCACGTAAAAATGAGAATTAACGAGTTTCCAGCAATTACCCTGTTCCGAAATTACCCTACTCTGCAGGGCCAGTAAGGTTACCGCGTGACTGGAGAGCTATTCAAAAGATCGTTAGCCAGACACGACCTGGCGGCGGGCTTCTGGCGGGGCGCTAGCGGTCGATGGAACATCCCCTCCCCTCCCCCCCCCATTGACCTCGATCGACGGAGCGAGAGGCGCTCCAATTGGGGACGCTGCGATCCCCCGGAGAGTCTTTGGATAGCCACTTGCTCTCCGCCCGGCTCCTCAGCTCTTTACCTCTCTCCCTTTCCCCCTCCCTCGCTCTCTCTCTTTCTTTCTTCCCCTTCTTTCTCTCTTTTCCCTCTCTCTCTCCCCTTTCTTTCTCCTCTCTCTCTGTCCCTCTCTGCATCTCTCTCTTTCTTTCTTTCTCTCTCTCTCTCTCTCTCTCTCTCTCTCTCTCTCTCTCTCTCTCTCTCTCTCTCTCTCTCTCTCTCTCTCTCTCTCTCTCTCTTTCTCTCTCTCTCGCTCGTCTCCATCGCATGGATGGATTGAGAGATAAAAACAAAGCAGCGATAGAAACAATCTCTTGCCCACCTGCTAGCCACCAAATGTTTCTGGACAAATTTCACATGCTTTTTAAATGCAAGTGATGGGGCTTTGGCTGCATTCTATCGCTTTCTATGCAATAGGGCATGGTTTCATGTGATTCGCCACGTGCTACATGCATATCGACCATGACGTTATTATGTTCATGTACAAGTTCCCATCATGTGCACAAAAAAAACACGACAAGGAAATATATGCGATGCTTGTCCTACCGCCCAGTCAATTGTTCCCTTTCTGCTCACCCAACCAATAAGTGAGGTGATGGAAGAGGCCACCAGGTGGCAACCTGATAGGCATCGATTATGAATTAACATAGTAAAACAGTGGAAATGTGTATACTTCCATGTATTTGACAAACATTCGTCTCTCATAGAACCCGCTTCCATAATGGCCAACGCTCGGCAAATCGCGTACTTTTGGTGCAGGTACATGTCGGCATTTATCAAGATTCTTACCTTTTTATACAATTCCATTTGATCGAAAACTGGCATATCGAAAATGTAGCATCCATGGCATTCCAACACAAGGTTCGTGGAGCCCATTTAAAACCACACACGGGTAAGTTATACAGCGAAGCGACGCCACTTTTTCAAAACGATTGCACGTGTTTCAAGGAAAGAACAAGCGCATGCAAGTTGGCGTTAAGGACTTTTTCCGAACTTTGCTGGACGGCTTTACATGGCCAAGGAATGCCTACATATAAGTATTAAGCGTTTCTAATGCTCCCATTGGAATCAGCTGTAGTGCGGATGGTGATGAGCTGGTGCTTTTGTGACAGGGTGTCTCATATATCGATTCCAATCGCAAAATCACCTTTACAGGCAATGAGGGTTAATGTGGCTCCGGATACAAACCCGGACATCCCAACCAGCAATCTTCACAGTGCTTATCTTTGCAGACACGCGCCATAAGAGCTGCCACAGGGTAAGGAAACAGTAGGGCAGTCGCATCATCAGCTTCAACATGCACATCAATACACATCAAAACGTCAGCCTCTTACTAGTTCACGCTCAGAGGGCAAGTAATAACTCGCGAACAAGGTCGAGCATCCCCCAATAACACCACACTGATCACTAAACAGTAACAACGCTCTCACCGTGCGCTGGTTCATATAGCGACTTAACAGCATTAAAGGTACGATGGGGATACTAGGACTAGGCTGGCACCTGGTGGCCAGGAAATAAGGAACCATGAAATTCCGGAGAGATCGAGGCTGAAACAAAGGAAGTGAGAAGTTTCGGCATTACACACTTTGATCTTTGTGTGTGTCTTCACAATTAAGCTTTTTGAACATAATGCACCAGTTTTAGACACGCAAGCAGCGTTAAGATGGCTTGTCCTCTCATTTCGTTAAACCCAGGTTTTTAGCACTTCATTGATCCTCTCGTCAGTTTGGTATTGTTTTAGCATTTTAAGGTTCACATGGAGATGTGTTTTTCCCAGTTGAGATTAGTTCAAACTACAAATTTGCACATTTCTTCCATCACCCACGGTCTCTATGTTTTTGCTCGCGTAAGCCTTCGTGGTATTCTTAACGTCCGCAGTTTTGAGCTCTGCAATCCTGCCCAGCAGAATATGCGCCATTGTAGACCCTTCGCGAAATTCTCAATAATGCCATATAGGTATGTATAAATTGTGGAAAGAAGATAACTCCTGTTCAACCAAATTGTTTGCTACTGTCAACGCAAACGGATTTGTGCCCGAAATACAAGCTTCTTTGTTTTCTCCACGGCCAACAATCTGCGTGGTGACTTGATTTAAGAATCGGGTGTGTTCGTTTCTACCAAACGGCAATCTGAGCCCATCTTTGAACGATTCCGTCGTGATGTTGGATGGCGCGGCCATTGGCAGAAAATCCCAACATGCCCCAATTTGCCAACCTAGCCGTCCTCATGTGTGCATTTTCGGAGTTTCCTTAATCCCGTTCCCAAACGTGAGCCACAAGTGCAATGTTTATTGTTATCCCGCCCATTAAAAGATAAAACATCTGTAAAAACAATGTCACAAGGCTACGAAAGATGCGCTTTTCAGGGAAGAAAAAGACGGGTGACATTCGGCTTAGACATTCGTCCACGTTTCATTCCTAGATAGAATTAATTCCTTCATCGCGCAAACGTTTGTGAGGTGGCTTAAGGCTTATTGACTTGGCTGCAAGAGTTTCAAAGTTTAATTGGTTCTTTCCAGCGTCGAAGAAAAGGGAGACAAAAAACAGTCTCTTCTCAAAATACATTTTTGAGTTGTGCTTTGCAGCACAGGTGCAGACTTAAAGATATATGCTGCGTTGGCTGCGTTCCTCCTCTTCATTGTATCCTCTCAACATCTTAGTAATGGTTATACCCTGAAAATTTTTTAGTATTGGTGACAACCAATGTAGGCAAGTTTGGAAGCCAATTACCAAGGTGTATTTCAACTTTTACAGCAACGTCTCACCAGGTCTTGTAACTGGGTGACGGCATGTGCAACGTGAATGATCTGAACCGCAAAATAAGACAGGAGAAGCATGGACCGTAAGCATTCAAATTTATTGCATGACGCTCCTGGCACTGAGTGCACCAGGTTTCTCTCACCAGTCGTAATTCTTGTGGTGCTAGATGGCCGTTCAACCCTCGCCTAGATTCGCCGTTTTTCATAATGCGGACTGATAGGGCGGAGTCGATACAAACACCCTTCCGTTCCCAAGCTAGAAACGATGACACCTTACACAAAAACAGGGGACTGGTTTCAATGGCATCTCGCGATCGGTAATGACTTTAATATTGCTAGATCAATAGCGGACTCTACTAAGCCGGATCAAATGCCGAATTTTTCTGAGAACTCACTTTTCCCATTTACGTGCCTATATGCACAAGACCATGTCCTGTAGCGACACGCAATTTAAGCAAAAGCTTATTTTGTCTCTCATTCTGAATACAGTGCGTGCAGTATTATGTGTTTTGAGCATCGGTTCATGATGTACAGCTTCGCTGTTTTGTAGACTGTTTTTCGCGCATTACGCGAAATCGTCGGTTGCCGCTCACTGCCTGCGGCGGCTATGGAGCTCCGTGCAATGATCCTTAGAAATGGTCGCTTCTCAGAAGCCAGAAATGCTAGGGACACGTTTTCAGCGTCAAAACACACCGAATAAATGCTTTAAAGGCTTCTAAGATGTTTGACGTGATAGCGCGGCATATGGGATAAACATTCTCAGAGCACATTTAGGACCTAGTCACCATCGATCCGGGTATCAGGACAAGGATTAATGAGCTATTACAAATACCCTAGATATTTGCAAAACAGATTGAGGTCAAGCCACCACCAGTTAGGTGTTCTAAAACTAAATTTTAAACAGAGTTTATCTAAACTTACACCGCCACTTTGTCTTGAGTTGAAATGGCCGGCACTACTATGGTTTTTTAGGATTGCCTTGGAAGGTCAGACCGAGTTTTGGACTACGCTGGTATATTTTTTACCGCACATTCGTGTTCTTGTCGTAAAATATACCAGGTTTAAGATTACCGAGGCTCGAGGCCTTGATAGGTCATGGGATTATCTCGGGTGAGTCACGCACTGGCCTTGGTGAAAGTAAGCAGTAGCATGCTTTGAATTGAACAAATTTTCTTCCTGCTGACGTATGCAAAGTTACGGGAAGATAGCAGACTTAATGGACCCCAGACTGACATGTTTGACCTAGTTCGACAGATACACCAAGACAGCCTGTTTAGATCAGCATACAAGCTGTATTGAACATGCCAAGCGCCCAGCTATGCGTTTCACACTCAATGAGCTATCGGCACAGCTAAGGTACTGCCGAACCTGGTGAGATTTAACTTGGCGTCAACTAAACCAAGGCAAAAAGGGTATGCTCACGAAACACCAGTTCCGGGTGTGTAACACTTTTGGCGCTGCGACAAAGAAACCAGATATCAGTAGTTTGCAAGCATTAATCATTACGTTGAGTGCGCTAGATGGATCCTGTTACCTTGTTTACCATGCCACAAGGAATAGTGAAATCAGGACATTGGCAACATGGTAAGAGACCATCACCTATTAGCATTGTATTCTCATCCGCATGATGCTGACCCCTCCGATTCGAACAACGTCTAGCAAAGCATATGGAACCAGTCAACAAGCATTAGCGGGCTTCCTGCCCGGCCATTCGGCTTCAGCATAACGCCTTATGAAAGTACACAAAGTCGGATGCCGACCAGGAAAGCTCACCCACGGAGTCGTGGCTCTCTCGTCACGTCCGAGGTCATTACAGGGGGTGAGCCCACCGACTCATCACCGCAATAGGCGCGCAACACCGCACTGCAAACACAGCGACACCTGCCGTAGACCCTCCGGACGACCACGCCAAGGTCGCACTCCCATTGGCTGGCACGAACACTAGCCACCCACAGTAACCAATCGCAGAGCGGAACGGCATAACCCTGTCCTGCACAAAGCACTCGCGTGTGACTGCCACTTGCAGACGCGTGGTGCCGAGTGTAAAACAGCCAGCATGTCCAAAGCCACGCCCGAGCCTGTGGGCTGTGACCCCGGGAGGCGAGGTAATGGGATTCTCGCCCGGTGGCCATCGAGCGGACTGGCATAAGGAGGCGTAAACACATGAGGAGGGCTGTTACCGCCCGGAAGGAGGGCGTGCGTCGCACACGCTAACCTGATGGTCGGGGAACAGCGGCGGCTCGGCTCAGGAGCCACCCACACACAAACAGAACACGTGAGTCAAGGGATTATTGGGGCTTTGTTGAGTGCGGGTCTGCTGAGTCTTTGAAGAGCTTCCATTCGCAGGGAGGCTTATGAGAAGCTTGGCCTTCCGGGACAACCCTTTCTTACTGTCCAGTTCGTCACTGAAAGCGGTGCAGAGTCCGGGGGGCGTCCGTCCCAAGCGACGGACGCTGGCAGTACCCGGCCCCTCGCTGGCCGGCCGCTGCGCTGCCACCTCAAGCCCCCTGACGGGCGCGACACGCCCCGGCCGTAAGCCACGGCCGTCCAGGCGCTCAGAAGCCGCCGAAGTCGCCGCCGAAGTCGCCGAAGTCGGCCTCGCAGTCGTAGTCGGCGTCGGCGCAGCCGCCGGCGCCGGCGTCCGTGTAGCAGTAGCCGGGGTCGAAGGCGGAGGCGGGCCCGCCCCAGCCCTGAGCGCAGCCCCAGCCCAGACCCTGGCCCCAGTCGGTGACGGCGCCGGCCAGCATCAGCCCCGTGCACAGGTCGCCCAGGCTGCGTCGGCTCAGAGAGTCGTGACCTGTCCGATAGCAAGCTGTTATGAGGGTCGCGGTCGCGAGTCCGACGTGGCGGGTCACAGTCTGCTATCGGGCTCAGGAAGCTGTCACCTGGTGGATCACAATCTGTTGTCAGGATCAGATGTAATAACCTGGTGGATCGCAGTTCAGGATCAGGTTCAGTGGGTCTGACATGGGGACACGATCTGCTATCAGGGTCGGAGGCTGACACGACAAAGCACAGCCTGACTTCAGGTTCAATGGGGCTGACATGGTGGACCACAATATGTGATGAGATGCCGCGAGTCTGACACAGCGAGTCATCGTCCGTTATCGGGGTCGCGGGTCTTGCACGGTGGGTCACAAACCATTAGGATTACGAAGTGAGCAATGATCATGAAATGGGGGATTGCGTTAGCATGGTCAGGTTTGAACAATGGTGAGTCGGTGAATGGTTCGCTCTTCACGGTAACAACCGGCTGATCTAAAGCTCGGGAAGTGTGGCCGGGGGCGTAGTAGGCGTAGTCAGCGGAGGGATGTAGTTCGTTTAGTTGCTGCTTTTGAAGTGGATGGTTTGAGGATGGATATTTCTTTGATGATTTAGCTCTAACTTGGCCGGGGTAAAAGTTAGAACGCTTGCATTAGCACGGCCGGACGGTCATAACTGATGAGGTTTGAACTTTGAGCTGCCTCAGCGACTCAGCACATATTCATATGCTTAAGTCTTGGGCGGATTTCACGACGCACTGCCGTGTATTTTTTAAAATTTGCTGAGTTATGTATCTGCAGTTTTTGTATTCCAAGTTTTATACCATTCGAGCCCTATGTTGGAACCTTAGTACTAAGCCATTCTAAACCGTTCGAACAACATATGTTTGTTTGACAGCAGCGAACGTGCATTGCTGCTGGCAAAAAATGATATCACTGCTGGCCTACTAAAAATTCATGTACGATTCTCCGGAAAGTTGCAGTATTGTTCCAACAATGAACTTGGAAAACCACTGAGCCGAATACCAAAGAGCAAAAGATAAATGAAATTGCATGACGCAGTCAGGAAATGCAGGAGGACCAATAAACATCTTCAACTGGCCAGAGCAGCCGAATAACATACACACATTTCATTAAAGATGGGATACCTCGTTTGAGGTTGTAACCAAGAGAGCTTATCCAGCAATGAAGTCGGTATTGAAGGCATTTTGCTAATTTTCTTACGACACAACGCCATGAACCTAATGTCCAATTCTACCACGCGTTGGGAGGGAGGAACAGGCCCCTAAGATTCTTACCGCACTAGCTCCCGGGCCCTTGCTTAGACCAATCCATAACGGCTCCATCTTTGTTAAGCTTTTTGTCCACCATGGAAACCAGTGATGGGAAGTAAAAGGAATATATGGTGCGTACGCCGGACTACAGTAACTAAACACAATAAAAGAGTTCGCACACTTTTCGTTTTGTTTACAGAAACCGGCAGAGTAGATTTATCAAACCTCAACACGAGAGCGTTGTCGCGTCAAGACCAGCAAGACACGGAACGATGCATTTAATATAGCATTTGAGCAACGGCGCGTGAGTCTGGACTTCAGCCGGGAGGTCGGGTTCGGTGCGATATCTGTATAACAACTGCAGCGATCTAATGCAGTGCCATCAAGCGTACTGGGTGGTTTAGTCAAGCCGCGCCGTATTCTGTAACGAACGGTCAAGACAAACACTTTCAGTCGTGCAATGCGACAAGACACAACATGGCCAAGCAAGCCTGAGGTCCAATGCCGATCAGCTATTGACACGCGCGCCGGTGTGGCACCGGCAGCAGCTCGGCCTGGAGGCCGGCCATTCGCTGCGGCGCCACGGCCACTGACCGTATCTCTCGGAGCCGTACTTGGCGAGGCTGTTGGTGACCTGTCCGGGCAGAGAGAAGGCGCGGGGGCAGCAGGCCTCGGTCATCACCGGGCTGGGCGGCGGCGGCAGCTGCCGACGGGTCATGCTAACTTCAGACCTCACTCAGACCGGCATCGGGTTCAAGCTGAACGCCATCAGGAACTAATGAATCATGATGATAAGGGGGTACACCTCAAGTACATCGTTAACGTTAGTTTGGTGCTAATTTGTTTACAATGTCTAACCATACGTGTCCATGCAGATCATGTACTGCTGCTGCGAAACCTCACACACTAAGCAACATTAGGAGCTGGCATTGCAGCCATGCTACAGCCGGTGCAAATTATGTAACATCGACAACCATCCACCATTGATTTGACGATCGTCACTGATAACATATGTCGAATAGAAAGGGGAGCAATATCCCATTTCCCCACAGAATGAGAATGCCATAGAACAAGAAGCACTGACTTTTCACGAGTACATTGCAGTGTATTCACAACTGCTTTATAGTGTGTTCATTACTGCATGCTGCTCACAATAGAAACTGTGGTAGAATAGTGTAACACAAATAGTTGCCCACGGGTGGAGAAAGCAAAGACACATATTTCTGTAATTAGGGTAAAAGACAAGCTTGTAATGAATGACGGATGAGACAGATACTGGCATGCATTCTCTGGAGCTCGGGTTCTTTTTAACCAGTGAAAGGGCAGAGTAGGGCTTTGCAAAGTTGCAAAGCAGACACTTCCACCATTATCAATCTCTCAAACAGCAACGTTTATGACGCATTTCGGTTCCTGCAGTCCTCCCCGTTCTCACTTTGCGCAGGTACCACCGCATTTCGAAAATCCGTCCATTGCCTCGCTCCTGGCAGAGCCTTCAGCTCTGAGCCCCTTGCTCCAAATGACACTACTTAACCGCTTCAGCTCTAATCCCATGGCTCCTGATCGGGCGGCTTCTTCTTCAGCTCTTATCTACTGGCTCCTCATAAGAGCCTTACGCTTCAGCTTTGATCTCCTGGCTCCTGATCGAGCTGTTGTCCTTAATCTCCGATCTCCAAGCTCCTGATCGAGCTGTTGCACTTAAATCTCCGATCTCCAGGCTCCTGATCAAGCTGTTTCCCTGGCCCCCGGCTGGTGACGGTAGCTCTGATCGGCCGCCAACCTTTCAGTTCCGGCTCCTGGCTGGTGAGACGCTTCTGATTGGACGCCATCCCTTCAATTCCGGCTCTTGGCTAGTGAGACGCCTTCTGATTGGACGCCATCCCTTCAGGTCCAGCTCCTGGCTGGTGGGACGCTTCTGATTGGACGCCATCCCTTCAGCTCCGGATCCTGGCTGCTGAGACGCTTCTGATTGGACGCCATCCCTTCAGCTCCGGCTCCTGGCTGCTGAGACGCTTCTGATTGGACGCCATCCCTTCAGGTCTGGCTCCTGGCTGGTGAGACGCTTCTGGTTGGACGCCATCCCTTCAGCTCCGGCTTCTGGCTGGCGAGACGCTTCTGATTGGACGCCATCCCTTCAGCTCCGGCTCCTGGCTGGTGATATGTTTTTGATCGGCCACCATCTCTGTATCTCCGGTCCTCCCTAGTGATGATGCTTCTGATCGGTCACCATCCCTTCAGTTTCGACTTCTGGCTGGAGGTGATGCTTCTGATCGGTCACTATCCCTTCAGTTTCGACTTCTGGCTGGAGGTGATGCTTCTGATCGGTCACTATCCCTTCAGTTTCGACTTCTGGCTGGTGGAGATGCTTCTGATCGGTCACCATCCCTTCAGTTTCGACTTCTGGCTGGTGGCGATGCTTCCGATTGGTCCACCATCCCCTCACTTTCGACGTCTGGCTGGTGGTGATGCTTCTGATCGGCCAGCATCACTTCAGCTTACTCTTCTGGCTGGTGATGATGCTTCTGATCGGCCGCCATTCCCTCAGCTCCGGTCCCTGGCTGCCGATAATGCGCGGACGTCCTCGCGCCCGATGACGGCTCGGGTTCCGGCGGCGGCGCAGCAGCAGGGGGTTTGAGAAATGGTACCGATCGGGGCCGACGCGCCGCTTTGGGGGCCGCCGGCGAAGACCCATCACCCGCCGCCGAATGTCGGCTCCCGGGCCGCGCCGGACGCTGCGGAATAACCTCCCAAACTTTCCCCCGATAATGCCGCCGACCTAAATATACTCCGGAGCCGGCGACTGCTCCACATCGGCAGTCATTCATTAAATTTGCCGGCAGTTTTAACGTTCACATTTCAATGGGAAGGTATGGGTGGCGATAAAGGCCAGATGAACGGCCCAAAATAGCGGTCCGGCGGCGGCCGGCGGCGGCCGGCGGCGGCCGGCTGCTTCCCAGCCAGATTGGCGTCCCGTAATGGCCTGCGAATGACGCTCGGCGGCTCCGCAGCCCACCAGCTTAGTCGCTGGGTCACACACGGGCGGCTGCAGCCGGCCGCTGAGGCACACACGGGCGGCGGCAGTCGGCCGCTGAGGCACACGCGGGCGGCTCTAGCCGGCTACTGAGGCACACACGGGTGGCTGCAGCCATCTACTGAGACACACACGGGCGGCCGCAGCCATCTACTGAGGCACACACGGGCGGCCGCAGCTATCTACTGAGACACACACGGGCGGCTGCAGCCGATTACTAAGGCACACAGGGACGGCTTCCGCCCGTGTACTTGGCACACACACACACGCGGACGGTTACAGTCATGGACAACCCTGAACCACACATGGACACACTCATAGCTTCATGTGGCGTGCTGAATGCATGCCTTGTTTTAAATACGACTCAGATAACTACACTTTACTATACGACTATACAATATTATACTATATGCTATACTTGGTATAAGCGAGTGCTTGTCCTGTATGCTGCTCGGTAAGCAAAAATTTTTGAACTGGGTAAAACACAAGAAAGTCAAATTTGAACCTTTGCCATGGGGGTGTTTGTAGAAGAGTTTGGAAGTTAGTGAATTTGCATTTCTTCTCCATAGCCATAGCTTCATTAGCTCATTCACTCATAATTTTGTATTGTGAAGCACGCGAGAATAAAGTAGACGTTCCAAATGATCACTTTTTAGATTTTCTTTTCGACAACCAATTCAAGTCTTTTACACGCTGAGAAGTCTGACAGAATGCCGTTTGTTAATACGCAGAGAATGACATCGCACTATAACTCTTGCCCGGATCTGCAGCTCATTTGCTCTTGATGCTCTCGTCAATAGCCAAACCTCCAACCACCAGGCACCGAGCCATGCAAAACAGCTGGTCATTTCGAAGCCATATGGTCCTATTCGGTGGTAAGGATCCATGCAGCATTATCGGGGCCGATTTGCATGGGCGAATCCAGAACGACTGAAGGAGATCCGGAAGAAGAAAGCTAAAGAGGAAACCAACGCTAGACAGGGACACGGACGTGCCTACCGCCTGATGAGTAGACCAGAGCGCATGCGCGGTGACCAGCCTCGATGCACCTGACGCACCTGAGCGCGGCACTCGACAAAGAGACAGGGTGCAGAGCAGGTCAGAGCAGGTCAGAGCAGGTCGGATAACACGGAACGCTGCCTCGCAAGCCCAGTTTGCCGCGCGGTTTCCCGGCCGCGGCGGGTACGGAGCATGCAATCTCATTCCGGCCTGCTCTGGCGGCCAACGAACGGGCCGTCAGGGCGGGCGGTGCGCAGCGCCGGCCTCATTCGGAGCCGGCTGATCAGTGCCGCCCGTTCTCACCGTATTGCTGATGGCCGTCATCCAGGCGCTGAAACGAGAGTCATCCAGCTTGGTTAGCGTCGGCCGGCCGGCCGGGGCTGCGGCGCGGTGCTCAGACCGGCGGCCGGCGTGCGTACGACGAGAGCGTCGGCCGCCGTCAGGCGCCGGCTCCGACGGCGTCGGGCGGAGCCGAAAATACGCCGCCGGCGATATTGAACGGCACGGGAGGCCGAGGTCCAGCGCCGGGGACGGGACCGGTAACAGGTGCAGCTGTACTGGGGGTATGGCTGTGTTCCCACTAGACTAACTGTAGGAGATGGTGCCATGTGTGCAAGTGAGGATGCGGGGATTCACCCCTCCCCAAAGGCGACCTTGAGACAGGGGTCGGGTCGTTGCCGCCAGGTAAATCGTCGAGACGGCCTGGAGCGGATGTCGAGCACGAGAGTGAGAGCGAGGCCCGACGAGGCGGCTCAGACCGGCGGGCCCGGTCCAGCTGGGAGCCGCGGCTGCGCTCGCCAGTCACAACAAAAGGCGCGCTCTGGGGAGAAGAGGGTCCGGAAATGGTGCGCTTCCGGCGGATTATTCGGTCTCATTTGTGGACACTGGGCGCGGTGATAGCAGAGTGCTCGGTGCTGCGATTTGGAGGCCGATGTTCTGGCTAAAGACATCACGACATCCACCCACCATCCCCAGCCGGCGGAAGTGCAGCGGACAGACGGAGCCTGGCGAGGACTTGACTGATAAGCCACGCGAATATGGACCCCAGGGATACCGGATACCCCGCCGCATTAAGTCCTCTTTATGCTCTTCGGCTGATGTTCAGCAAAACGACGGGAGGCCGGCAGCCTGCTAAGTAATTGCTGTTGCATAATAACGTTTCCAGGCAGGGGAATACCAAGACATTGAGCCTTCAATCGTGGATGCTTTAAATCGCGCGCCTTTTACAGTATTCATGGCTACAGTATGCATTGAGAACGCTAAATTTAGACAGAATAAGGACAGGACCAAGTCGGTAAGTTCTACCGCACAAGTCAGGAGCCACCGCCCTTCACCGCAGCTATCATCGCTCCTGTGGTGGCAGCATTTGACGCCGCGTCACGAGCCGTGCTGCGTCATTTCTGATGCGCCAGGAATGCATGTAGGACGGAATAAAACAACTAGACCCCCCAGCCACGTCATATCCTTAGGCGAGGCTTTTGTTTTACACGATATGCCATCGCTGCTCCGATTATATTTGACATTCCCTTTTATCCGTTACCTTTAGCACTTCATTTTTGATCTACGGGCTCGCCAGCATTTTTCCATGTGCGCTACAACATAGTAGCGGAGTGGCCACACTTGGCAGCACAATAAACATATGCCATACGCCATTCTTGCATACGTGCATCTAATGCAAACAATGACATGCATATTTGTCTGCTTATATTTCATCTGAGTAGGTGCATGCTTAATAGACATATATATATATATATATATATATATATATATATATATATACATGTATATATACATATACACACACACACACACACACATATATATATATATATATATATATATATATATATGTATATATATAGAGAGAGAGAGAGAGAGAGAGAGAGAGAGAGAGAGAGAGAGAGAGAGAGAGAGAGAGAGAGAGAGAGAGAGAGAGAGAGAGAGAGAGAGAGAGAGAGAGAGAGAGAGAGAGAGAGAGAGAGAGAGAGAGGAGGAGAGAGAGAGAGAAGAGAGAGAGAGAGAGAGAGAGAGAGAGAGAGAGAGAGAGAGAGAGAGAGAGAGAGAGAGAGAGAGAGAGAGAGAGAGAGAGAGAGAGAGAGAGAGAGAGAGAGAGAGAGAAGAGAGAGAGAGAGAGAGAGAGAGAGAGAGAGAGAGAGAGAGAGAGAGAGAGAGAGAGAGAGAGAGAGAGAGAGAGAGAGAGAGAGAGAGAGAGAGAGAGAGAGAGAGAGAGAGAGAGAGAGAGAGAGAGAGAAGAGAGAGAGAGAGAGAGAGAGAGAGAGAGAGAGAGAGAGAGAGAGGAGAGAGAGAGAGAGAGAGAGAGAGAGAGAGAGAGAGAGAGAGAGAGAGAGAGAGAGAGAGAAGAGAGAGAGAGAGATACATACACATATACATATATATATATATATATATATATATATATATATATATATTATATATATATATATATACACACACACATATATATATATATATATATATATATATATATATATATATATATATATATATATATTCCAGTCTCCGTATGGCTTAAAGTCTGTTTGTGCTATGTGGCAAAGTATGTTTGTGCTATGTGGCATTCACGCCCAAGTGGCTGGCAAACGGAGGACGACATGCGGCTCACATGGCACTTGGAACAACTATCGAGTATCAAAGCCATGGCCGCAGATAGAACGATCGTGCTGGCAGGCATGAGTTCCCCAGGGAACATTTCAATTGACTACAAAATTTATAGCTATTGACTTGTGCGGAAGAACTTTATTACTTTGAGCTGAACCACATAGTGGTGATAACGGGAACACCTCTAAGAATAGCTCATCATGTAAAGCATTTAAATGGTCAGCAATATGCCTGGAAAAGAGCGATGCTGGTAATGCACCACAAAAGCCTCGGAGGCGAGCGACCAGATGGGACTCCATAATGACACACAGAACCTATTCAGAGATCACGCATGCTGATCAGCGGCTCGAGCCAACCGCAGCACACAGCCTTTGCCAGCGACAACCCACCCGACCCAAGACCCGAAAATCAATAGCACGACGAAGGCGGAGAAACCTGGCGCTCGGCCATACGCAGCGTGCTCTCGAGTCAGCAGCGCGAGCGCGGGAAACGCGACGGCATATAAAAACAGCGTTCTGAGCGGCAGCCCCCTGCCGCCGCCGCCAAAAACAGCAGCGGTGGTAGCGGTCGTACGCCAGACAGCGGTCTCTTTCTCTTACCACTGCAGCCGTGTGCGACTCACAAGTACACGTGTAGTCAGTTCTGGGGAATGATGTTCAGCAACCAGAAGCAGCTTCAAAGAAACACGGCTTTTTGTGTGACGAAGTGCCAATTTCGTCGTTTCGACGATTTTACTGGAATGACTGCACCACGGCACTGCTTTGCTCGGCCGTCTGTGGGAGTCGGGAAAGGTCCGAGAGAGCGTATGCAGTGCAGAATAAGGCGCTCTTAAAGCTAATCTAGTTAACAGACAGCGGGGGAAGAGTGGATGCAATAAAACGATAACACTAAGCCTAACGACTGAACACCGTTAACACTGACAATGGGAATGATTTGGACGACGGCCGTGATAAAAGTCCGCTGCCGTCAAATGGTCTGAGCCCTGTCACCGCGGGCTGCGACGTCTTCAGTGGCGGCTAACAAGTGGGACGTGCCGTTTTGTCGCCAGTCCGAGCGGTGCGGCCGGTCGCCCCGGCACCAGATGATCGCGCCCAGCCGCTCCAGCCGCCGCGCAGGTCCCGCGAACGAGCCGACGCGCACCGGCGCCTTGACTGCTCCCGCGCAGTCGGAGATGAGACGAAGCGGCGGGGGGGGGGGGGGGGAGGAGCGGCGGGGAAGTCCGACTCTGGCGGATACCTTCGGGTCTTGAGAGGCGCGGAGGTAACGGGATAATGCTGTGCAGCGAACCATGCAGCTCTGCACAGCTACAGCTTGGCGTGATATAGATCAGCGCGACGCGAGCGCCGCTCATCTCCCGCGTCATCACCAGCTTCAGTGCGACACGAGCGCCGCTCATCACGGGCGTCATCACCAGCCCCAGCGCGACACGAGCGCCGCTCATCTCCCGCGTCATCATCAGCTCCAGTGCGACACGAGCGTCGCTCATCACCGGCGTCATCACCAGCCCCAGCGCGACACGAGGTTCGCTCACCACCGGCGTCATCACCAGCCCCAGCGGGACACGAAAGCCGCTCATCGCCGGCGTCGTTACCAGACCCGAAATGCACTGGAAGCGTTCACGTTCACGATGCTGGGAGAATCGGCCGCGCGTGCTATGGTTCGGAGCACGACAACCACGGAGCAATTAGATGATATGGGTGGTCACGTGCGCACAGTCTCTCCCATCCCCATGCATCCAAAATATTCGGAAAAGCTGCGATCAGTGGTCTGGCGTGAGCTGAAGGCCCAAACAGAGGCTATGCCAGACTAGAGTATGTCACAAAGTAAGTATCGATGTTTTGAGCAGGTTGGAGCAGTGTCAACAGGTACATGCAACAGCCAAAACATAGGAGAAGAGGAACTACCCAGGTACTAAATTTTTTAAGGCTCGACTTCCGTGCAACGATGCGACTTGTCTGAACAAACTGCAAAACTGTTACCAATCCGCGAATGTCCACTGAACAGACAGCTACAAACATGCTTAACAGGCAGCCATAACACGTACCCATGCACCTATTGTGCTTAGTTGAAGGGAGTACGAGTGAATGGCTGAGTAAAGATCTTTTCGTGCAATAAATTTCAAGCATCTGCATCATAGTTTCTGTGACTTGGAGGACCGTCCTCCATCATGCATGTGCTCAAAAGCCACATTTTGACAATGGTCACCTCAATCTTGGCACGTGTAGACAGCCGGCCTTAAACAGCCTTAGTGATAGAGAAGATAATCGTGAGGTTTTGATTATATGGCTTATGAAGGCTACCAACGCAGACGCCTCCAAGGAGGGGGAGGGGTGCAACTTAGCGCAATTGCCACAAGTGCCACGGTACAGGTTGAAGCTATCGGTTCATAAACCAGCTGTTCATCGACTGGCGCGCATGCCACCATCTCGCTCGGAGCCCGCCTGCCGGGCACTGCCACCACTGGCCCACAGGTCAGCCTCAGCTGCTACGACCTGGCACGGCGGGTCAGGGCAAAGGCCAACTCTGGACTGGTCTGCGCCCCCCGCGGACTGCAGACGCGCCACCCCTCATCATCCCGCCGGCGGGACGTGGCCTCTATAAGGCGCACGCCAGCGTCAAGGCGGCCGTAAAACGCCCGGTGGCGACAGTTTGCTGCCTGTCGGGGAGTCGGCTCACCCGCCGGCGGCTGCAACAGGCTTTGCACTGGAAGCA